CAATTGAGTCAGACCAATAGGTGCATATTGTGGACTGTGAAACAGCCATGGATGCTTGGAAAGTGCTCGAACAGGTATATGAGCCAAAATCAAGACAAAGAATCATGCAACTAAGGAGACAATTCGTCAGGCTACGGCTTAAAGAAAATGAAACTATGGCATCATACCTCTCCAGAATGAAAGTGACTTGTGACTACTTAAACGCAGCAGGTTCAGAGGTTAAAGATGAAGACCTAGCTTATGCAATGCTCAGTGGGCTTCCAGATTCATATGATGCATTAACAATGTCATTAACCAATTTAGATGATACAAAGTTTACTTCAGCAGAAATAAAGAAGGCACTGCTGATGGAGTATGAACGACGCTTGGATAAAAATGAGAATCAAGAACAATCACAAGAGGTGGTTGCGTACCAAGTAAAGAAGGGCAACAAACAAGTACCAGACAAGCACGCAGCAGACAAACAAGTACCAGACAAGCAGAAAACTTGTTTTAAGTGTGGCAAGGCAGGGCATTTTGCAAGGTACTGTCGCAGTAAAGACAGGACACAGAAAAAGGAGTTCAGGAGCAATAAGAAGAACTCATATGCATGTTTGATGTCCCTACAACATGTGACTGTAAATGATGCCTGGCTTGCAGACAGTGCTGCGACGCACCACGTGTGCAGACATAAGAGCTGGTTCAGAGATTTTAGAACCTCCTCAGAGCCAATTGGCACAGCGGATTCAAACACAGATGATAACGAGAATACGCTGATGGCTGAGGGAATCGGCGACGTGGTCTTGAAATCTTGCGTGAGTAACTACACTTGTGAAATAGTTTTAAAAGATGTATATTATGTTCCTAGGTGTAGAAGAAATTTAATATCAATTGCCCAAGTGGAAAAGAAGGCCAAATGTATTGTTTTCGATAATGGCAAAGTAAGAATAAAAGACAAGGAATCTGGAAACGTGATTATCGAAGCGCATAGGGAAGAAAATCTTTACGTCGTACGAGCTGATGTGGTAAATCCAGAGAACAACAGAGTAATCAAGTTGCACTCTACGGTTGTGCAAAATCTAGATATCTGGCATAAAAGATTTGGCCATGTGAGTAGCCAAAGTATCCAAGCACTTGCTAAAAAGGACTTCGTTCGAGGCCTTGAAGACGCCAAATTGGAGTCTGGAACGTGTTCAGGTTGTTGCGCAGGAAAATCCAGTAAAGCACCGTGCAAAAGGCTGCAAGGTAAACAGTCAACTAAACTCCTAGAGTTAATCCACTCAGATGTGTGCGGGCCATTACCGGTGAAGTTTATAGGCGGTTCTGTATATTTTATGACGCTAATAGATGATTATTCGCGAAAAATAGAGGTGTGTTTCCTGAAGTCAAAGAGTGAAGTCGTCGACTGTATCAAACGATTTATCAAAAGGGTCGAACGCGAAAAGGACGCTAAAGTTAAGCGTTTCCGTACGGACAACGGACTTGAATATTGCAACAAAGAATTGAGAAATTTCTTTGAAGAGCTCGGAATTAAGCACGAAAGGAGCTGCGTCGAGACTCCGCAGATGAATGGCGTAGCTGAGCGGGCCAACCGCACGTTGATGGATCTGGCTAGATCGATGATGATGTCCGCGAAGCTTCCTCCGAAATTCTGGGGAGAAGCTGTAAACACTGCCGCGTACGTTAGAAATAGAGTAATGCATACAAGTGTGAAAGATGGAGTCCCCGAAGGAATTTGGATAGGGCGTGCACCGAGCGTGAAACATTTGAAAGTTTTCGGTTGCCTAGCATACGCTCATCTAGCTACTCAAGGAAGAAAGAAGTTGGATACGAAAGCCCAAGAATGCATATTTGTCGGATACGCGAGCCAAACTAGGGGTTACAGGTTGTGGAACCCAAAGAAACAAGATATCATTCTTACAAAACACGTGCGATTTGACGAGAATAAAATCGGGTATGACTGTATCTACGGTAATCAAGAGGTGTGGACAGAAATACCAAGCTTGAAATTTAGTACAAGCGCCGAAAGCTGTAAGTCTGAAGTTAGAGAAGAAGAGTCAAGTGAAGAGCAACCACCCCAGATGGACGCAGACCAAATAGAAGAAGATGAGTTTCCACATGTAGATCCGGCAAACACGGAAGATACAGAAGAAGATAAGAAGATAGTGGGAGAGCCTCACCACAGTGTAGGAGGAAAAAGAGGTGTTGGACGGCCAAGAAAGAGGCCTCCACCGAATCCTTATGGACGCAAGGGCAAACCGAAGGAAAATGTAGAAATTAATTTTACAGAAATAATTGAACCTAAGAATCTCGATGAAGCACTCGCCTCGCCGCACTCCAGCGAATGGAGGAAAGCTATACAAGAAGAAATAGATAATTTGGTCAAGCATAAAACGTGGACAGAAATTGACCTACCACCGGGTAAGAATTGCATTGGATGCAAATGGGTTTTTAAAATAAAAACTGACGCCGATGGTAGAATTGCTCGCTACCGAGCAAGATTGGTTGCACAGGGTTTCACTCAAAGGAAAGGTGAAGATTATGAAGAGACATATGCTCCTGTGGCCAAGTTCGCTATTGTTAGAATATTGTTAGCGATGGCAACCATTTTTGGCTGGGTGACCCGGCACATCAATGTAAAGTGTGCTTACCTGAATGGGAAACTGGATGAGGATCTGTACATGAAATTACCGCCATTGTATGAAAACAAAGATGGAAAAGTAGCGAAGCTATTACGCCCACTATATGGACTAAAGCAGGGTGGTCGGAATTGGAATGATGAGTTTAATGACTATTTAGTAAGAATGGGATTCAAACAGTTGGCGTCGTCAAATTGCATATACCGATCAGATTTTTACACCTTTTTGGTGGTGTATGTAGACGATGTAGTCATGTTCTCCAGAAGCCAAGAAATTTTAGACAAAATAACAGAAATGTTACGGAGCCAGTACGAAATCAGAGATCTTGGAGAGGTCTCACATTTTCTGGGAGTGAAAATTCAACGTAATGCCCAAGGTGAAATATTATTAAATCAACGGGCCTATATCTTACATATGCTACAGCGTTTTGATATGGAAGAATGTCGACCCGTAGCGACACCGATGGATCCCAGTGTTATATTATCCAGGAGTGATTCGCCGGATAATGAAGAAGAGAAACATGCAATGAAGCAGATCCCATACAGGGAGTTAATCGGATCGTTAATTTACCTCGCACAGTGTACTAGACCCGACATAGCTTACACGGTTGCTAAGCTGTCGCAATTCTGTGAAAATCCGGGACGCATTCATTGGACGGCCGCAAAACGAGTCCTAAGATATTTGAATGGTACCAAAGACTATGGCTTAAATTATAGAAAGGGGGAGCCTCTTATTTTGTTTCAGACAGACGCGGATTGGGCTGGTGATGTAGACGATAGGCGTTCTTATAGCGGGATATTGACAATTATTGGAGAAAATATTGGGGATTGGAGATCTACAAAACAAAAGTCTACATCCGCATCTACTATGGAGGCGGAGTACATCGCCATGTCACAAGCTGCAAGAGAGGCTAAATGGATGAAAATGTTCATTACAGAAATGCAGCTGGAACATCACTTCAAGACGCCATATATTGTGCTGTGTGATAATCGAGCGGCGATAGACTTCTCTAAGAACCGTATAGAGCGCTCGAGAACAAAACATATAGACATTTGTTATCATATAGTGCGAGACGCGATAAACGAAAATAATATTATTCCAAAATATGTAACTACTGAAAATAATCTCGCGGATATATTTACTAAGGCATTATGTAGAGTTAAGCATGATAATTGCGTGAATGAGTTGAAGTTGAGTTCAGAGAGTCTGAAGCGCAAAGTGGGAGATTGATGGATGTTGCGCTTCAGCCATCCTCACTTGATTTAGTTGCGCCTTTGAATCTGGCGGGACGCCGAACGGTGCTGCCGTTGGCGGTCTCTGTTGGGGCCGGCTGTGGGCCTAGTTACTTTTGCGTCTGTTAGTAGTGTGGTCTGCCATGTTATAGAAAAAGGGCGTCATGATAGAAGCGCCGGAAAAGCGAAGGTTTTCTTTATGTCATTATCCTATTATAAGTTAGTTATGTATTACTTTTGACCTTTTCATTCCTTGTATTCATTTGTGTTTATTATAAATATATTAAGATTTTATCTCCTTCAATAATTTTATTTCCTTATTTTTAAATTTAATTTTTATCAATATATAATTTATAAAAATCAAATTATTTAATTTATTATCCTTTATTATTAATTTAAAAATTTAATTTTTATAAAATATATAATTAATTTAAAGAACATTAAGATTATAATATGAGACGAATTAATTTATCTTGAGGGAGAACGTGTGTCGTGATAGCTGGAGTGAGTAGAGAGTGAAAAAGTCAGTAATCGTGAGGAAGATAAGGTTTAGGGTCAACAGAAAGTGGGAGTATAAAGGAGAGGAAAAGAGTGACAGATCAGGGCAACAATAAAGAAAGGAAGTAAGAAGAAAAGCGGTGATAAGAAGAATCAGTGGAAGTGAGGTTAGGAGGAGAGAAGGCCGGGAAAGAGCGCGAAGGGAGGAAAGAGGGAACGGAGGGAGACACCTGGGGGGCAGGTGGGAAACAGGTAACACAGAAGTAGTCCCGGTTGGTAAGGAAGAGATAGACGAAAGAGGAAGGGGGAATTTTGGCGGGCAGAACAGAGGAATCAAAAGAAAAGAAAAAAATCGCGGAAGGGAAGGATGACCCAGGAAAAGCTGATAAAGGCGGGAAAAGAGGAAGACCGACCAATGTGACGGCACTGAAAAACGAAAGGAGCATAAGCATGGGAAACATGACGAGCATAGAAGAAATTTGGAAAAGGAAGAGAGAAACAAGCGGAGGAGGAGGAGGAGAGAGAAGAAGGAGGAGAGTGTGACCCGCAAGTAGAAGGATGAATATTCAGAGCGAGCAGTTTGGTAGGAAGATCGCCGGAGAAGAAGAAAGAACGGGTGGAAGAGGAAAGTGGAATTGGACAGATAAAGAGGATGATCAAAGAGTTGGGAGAAGGGCTGAGCAAGAAAATAGAAGAAAGCGCAAGGAACCAGGGAAGAGAAATGAGGGAAGGGATAGCGGGAGTGAAAAAGGAAATAGAAAAGGAAATAGGTAATCTAAAGGAAGAAATCAAAAAGAGAGAGGATAAGTGGATGGTACAGAGGAGGGAGCTAGAAGAGAAAGTGGAAGGGCTCAGAAAAAAGGTGGAAGAGTTAGAAAGAGAGGAAAAAGAGAATGACAAATGGAGTAAACTAGAGGAGAAAATTCAAAAAATGGAACGGGGAACAAAGGAGGAAAGGAGGGCAGGGAAAGAGGAAGATACAATAATGGAAAAATTGAGAGAATTAGAGGGCAGGTGGGAACGGAAGGAAAAAGAAGAAAAAAGAAAAAATATAATAATTAAAGGGGTGAGAGTAAAAAGGGAGGAGATGAGGGAGAAAACAGAGGAGATAATGAAAGCAATTGGGGTACAGGACGCGGTGCAGGAGGTGAAAGCAGCAGGATTTGGGGAAGGGGGAAAAGAGGTAAACATGGTTCAAATAAAATTGAAGACAGTAGAGCAGAAAAGAAGCGTGATGATGAAAAAGAAAGCACTGAAAGGCAGGGAGGAGAGAATAGAAGAGGACTTAACATGGAAAGAAAGGAGGATACAATGGAAGCTAAGAAGGATAGCAAAGGTGGAAAGAGAAAAAGGAAAGAATGTATGGGTGGATTATGGAAGAATCAGAATAGAAGGGAAATGGTGGAGGTGGGAGGAGGGTAGTGAATGTCTGAAGGACGGACAAGGAAGAGAATGGTATGAAACGCAGAGGGGGTCGAGCAACGTGGGGGAAGAAATGTGAGGGATAAAAGGGGAGAGCGAGTGGGAAAAGTGGGGGAAGAAGAAAAGGGGGAAAGAAGGGGAAAGAGGGATAAAGGGATAGGAAAAGAAAAGAAGCAGAAGAGGAAGAAAAGGGGGGAGGAAGGGTAGAAGAGGAGAAAAGAGAGAAAGGAAAAGAAAAGAATGAAAGAATAGGGGAAGAAAAGGAGTGGTGGGAAATAGGGTTTTGGAACTGCGCGGGAATCAGAAATAAAGATGAAGACTTCTGAAATACGATTATGCAGTGGGACGTGGTAGTCCTAATGGAGACCTGGCTTGAGAAGAAAGGATGGGAGAAGATAGAAGGGTGGCTGCCAAAAGGTTATAGATGGGAAGCACAGCTGGCAGAAAGGAAAAATAAAAAAGGAAGGGCAATGGGAGGAATGATGATAGGGGTGAAGGAATACCTGATGGGAAAAGAAGGAAGGATAATAAAGGAAGGGAAAAGGACAGGAATAATGACAGCAGAATTCAAGAGAGGGGAAGAAAAATGGAGGGTAGTGGGGGTATACGTGAACGCGGATATAGAGGAAAAAATGGAGGAACTCAGGACAAGAATGGAAGGCGTGGGGGAAGAAAGAATAACAATAATAGGAGGAGATTTCAATGCGAGAACAGGGGAAGAAGGAAGAGGAGGGATGATGTGGGGGGAGGAGGAGGAAGAGGGAGAAAGAAAATCAAAGGATAAAAAGCAAAATGCGGAGGGGAGAGTCATGCTAGAGGCATTAAGAGGAACAGGTTGGGAAATTTTGAATGGAAATATGAGAGGGGATGAAGAAGGAGAGTTCACGTACACGGGAGCAAGGGGAAGCACAGTGATAGATTACGTAATAGCAGAGGGAGAGGGGAAGGAGAGAATCAAAAGAATGGAGATAGGGGACAGAGTTGATTCAGACCACCACCCAATGATACTGAAGCTGGAAGGGGAGAGAGTGAGGAAGGAAGAAGAAGGAGAGAAAAAAAGACCAGTGGCGAGAGGAAACTGGTCGGAGAAGGGAAGAGAAAGGTTTAAAAAGGAAATTGTGTGGAGGGAGATGAGAAAAGGAAAATTAGAAGAGGACATGGAGACAATGCTAGGGGAGTTTAGGAAGGGGCTCGAGAGAGGAAGGGAGGAAACAAAAACGCGCATGAAAAAAGGGTGGTGGGACGAAGAATGTAGGCAGAAAAAGAAAGAAGTGAGAAAGGTGTTAAGAGAGCGGAGGAAAGGGAGGGTCGAGGCAGTAAATTATAGAGAAGCGAAAAAGGAATACAACAGACTATGCGGAACAAAAAAGGAAAAAGTAAACGAGAGTTTTGAAAAGGAGGTGGAAGAAGCAAGAACAGAAGGCGAGGTGTGGAAGTTAATAAATAGGGAGAGGAAAAGAGGGGGGAGAGTGAAAACGGGGATAAAAGAAGAGGATTGGAGAAAATATTTCGTTAACCTACTAGGCGGGTCAGAGGAAAAGGTAGTAATGGGAGGAGAAAGAGAACGAGAAGGGGACGAGGAAACGGATATAAGAAAAGAAGAAATAAGAAAAGCGGTGGTGAAACTAAAGGACCGAAAAGCAACAGGGGGAGATGAGATCCCCAATGAAGTGTGGAAATACGGAGGAGAAGAAGTAATGGACTGGGCATGGAAAATATGCAATAGGGTATGGAGAGGTGAGGGATGGCCGGAAGGATAGAAGGAAGGGATAATCGCTCCCATAAAGAAAAAAGGAGATGGGAAACAGGCATCGGACTACAGGGGGGTGACACTAATGCCCACGTTATACAAGATATATGCAGCGGTCTTGACTGAAAGGCTGAGAGAGGAAGTGGAGGAAAAGAGAATGTTGCCGGAAAACCAAACGGGATTTAGAAGAGGGATGGGGACAACGGATAATACATATGTATTAAATTATCTGGTAAACAGACAGATAAAGAGGGCAAAAGGAAAAGTGATAGCGTTTTTCATAGACCTGAGGGCAGCATTTGACTCAGTGGATAGAGGAGCCCTGATGGAGGCGCTAAGAGAAAGGGACGTAAGGGAAGGGCTAAGAAAAAGGATAAAAGAGATCTTGAGGGAGACCAGAAGCAGGGTAAGGACAGGCGAAGGGATAACAGAACCATTCTGGACTGCAAGAGGAGTAAGACAAGGGTGTCCACTTAGTCCATTGCTGTACAATCTGCTGACGGCAGATATGGAAGAGAAGATGAAAAAGGGAGGCGGAGGAGGGATAAAGATCGGAGGAAGGAAAATATACACTCTGGCTTACGCGGATGACGTGGTAGTTTTGGCGGAGGAGGAAGGGGATATGAGGGTGTTACTAGGGAGACTAGAGAGGTACCTGGATGAAAAGAGGCTGGAATTGAATCAGGAGAAATAAAAAATAATGAGGTTCAGAAAACGGGCGGGAAAATGGAAGAAAGCGGAGTGGTGGTGGAAAGGAAAGAAAATAGAGGAGGTAGGCCAGTTTAAATACCTGGGGTATGTATTCAGGAGAAACGGAGGCAGCGAACTACAGGTAAAAGACAGAATCAAGAAGGCAGGAATTGCGATGAGACAAGTATGGGGGATAGGAAAAAGAAGATTCGGAAAAAACTGGAAGAGAAGAATTTGGCTATGGGACAAGCTAGTATGGACAATCATAGCATATGGAGCGGAAGTATGGGGATGGAGGGAGTGGGGGGAGATAGAGAGGGTACACGAGAGATTCCTGAGATGGACATTGGGAGTGGACTGGCGGACGCCAGGCTATTTACTAAGAGAAGAACTGAAAAGATGGAAAATGAGAATAAGAACCGGAAAGAGGGCATGGGATTACGAAAGAAAGTTATGGGAAGGGCGAGGGGGAGACTTGGCGAAGAGCTGCTGAGACCAGGTAATTAGAAATGAAATGAGGAGGGGAGAGGGAAGCAAATGGGAAGAAGAAAGGAGGAAGTTCTTCGAAGAGAGGGGACTGAAATTAGAGAAACTGGAAGAGAAAAGAAGCAGTGGAGAGATGGGATATGAGGAACTGGAAGAAAGGGACAAGCAGATGCAAGAGGAGGAAAGGTGGGAAAAGATAACCGAATCGAGGTACAACAGGTGGTATAAGACCATTATAGAGCCAGGAATACCGAGATATCTGGAAAAAGGATGGAAGGAGGAAAGATGGAGAAGAGTAGCTAAATTTAGATTGGGAAACGAGGTAAAGGAAGCAAAATACTGGGAAAAAGAAGAGGAAAGGAAATGTAGATTATGTGGCTGGGAAGAAGAAACATGGGAGCACATATGGGAAAGGTGCGCTGTCGGAGGAGAAGAAAGAAAAGAAGAATGGCAAGAGAGAGTGAGAGAGATGCTGGGAGGAAGTGGGGAAGGAGAAGATTGGATGAAACAGCTAGAGAAATACAGGACGGGAACTGGGGAAGGACAAGAGACGCGGAGTGAGAAACGGCGAGAAGTATGACGGCTAATGATAACAAGAAAGAAGGACAGAAAAGGAACAACAGATGACGTAGGAAAGAAAAGAAAAGAAGACAGAGACAGAGCGAAGGAAGGAAGATCGGTAAGGAAGTGCACGATAAGAGCAAGCAAGGGAAGAGGAAGAAAGGGAAGGGGAAGAGAGGGGCATAGTAAGTAGTAGAAATATAAGAAGCGGAAAAGACAAGGTTGGCACCACTGGAAATCAAGTGGTGTAAGAAAAGGTGTAGTGGCAACACAAGAAAAGATAGGTTGGCAAGACGGGAAAAGTGCGTGGTACGAGAAGAAGCACGTGTTGAAGAGAAAGCAAGGGCAAAGAACAATAAAGGACCTTGGCGAAGCTGTGCAAAGGGGAAAGGAAGGAAAAGTCTAGAAAAAAGTAAAGTTAAAGGCAGGACAAGACTAGTAAGGAGGGAAGAGGAGACACTGAGGTGAAGAAAGGTTAAAGATATGGAGAATCAAGAGGAAGTGCTGAGGGAGCTGAGAGGAATTAGAGAAGAAGTAAGGAGTCTGAGAGAAGAAATAAAAGAATGGAGGTTGGAAAGAGGAACAAAGAGAGAATGGAAGGAAAAGCAGGAGAGTGCAGAAGAGATAGAGAAGAGGAGAAGAGGGTTGGGGGAAGAAGGATGCAAGAAAGAAGAAGAAGACGAAGCAGAAGGAGGAGGGTGGGAAAAACAGGACGAGGGGAATGAAAAGGTAGTAAAAAGAGAGAGGGAAGTAGACAGCAAAGAGGAGGAGACAGAAGGGCAAGAAATAGAGAAGGAAAGAAATGGTGCCAGAGAGGGAGAAGAAGAGAAGAATAGAAGAGAAACAATAGAAGAAGCGAAGAAGAAATGGAGAAGAAGATCAGAGGGAGATGCTGACGAGCTGGAAGGAGAAAAAGAGTGGAGGAGAAGAATGGAAACAGAAGGGACAAAGAGAAGAGAAGAAGAGTGGGAAAAGATATGGGAGGAAAGAATGGAAGAAATCAGAAAGGAAAGGAGAAAAAGAAGTCTGATTTGGAAGGGGGTAGAAGGAAAAAATCTAGAAGAAAGATTGAGCTATATTAAAAAGATTTTAGAAAAGGAACTGGGGCAAGAGGTAGAAATAAAAAGAGCAACAGAAAGGGTGGGAGAAGGGGGGAGAAATATAGTACTAACAGAATTAGAAGAGGAAGACCGCAAGAAGGAAATGGTGTGGACGAAAAATGAGATCTGGGACAGATGGAGGGTTGCGGTTGACGAGGATCTGTCAAAAGAAGAGAGAAGGATGAAGTGGAGGATAAAAGAGAAGGCGAGAGAAGAAAGAAGAAAGGGGAACTGGGTGGAATTCAATAACAGAAGAATATGGATAGAAGGAGAAGAATGGAAATGGAACGAGAGGGCAGAAAAATGGGAAGCCAGCAGACAGACGGATAGGAAATAAAGAAGTAAGTAAAGAAGACAAGAGAAGAGGACCGGAAGAAGCAGGAAAGAAGAGGAAAAAGGAAAGGAGAAGGAGCATAAGAAAAAAGAAGTATGGGAGGGGGTAGGGAGCACAGGGGGTAAGGGACAGGGGCGTTAGGGAGTGCAATAGAGTTAAAGTGGCAGTAGAGAATGATTAGATAGGGGAAGCGAAACACATAGGATTTATCAAGAGAGGAGTGAAAAATAAGGTGGCTGATAAAGGAAAGGGCGAGAGAAGAGAGAAAAAAGGGAAGAGAATGGAATTCACAAGCAGGAAGCTTTGGGTGGATGGGAAGGAGTGGAAATGGGAAGACAAGGAAGGAAAATGGAAAATGAAGTCAGAAAAAATAAAGCGAGCAAGGGCAAGAAGACAAGAGAGGAGAGAGAAAGACCAGTGCCAAGCTCAGGAGGGAAGAATGAGAAGTGAATCAAGTACAGAAACATTTAAGTTTAACAATTTTAAATGAATAATAAAGAAGGGCAAGTTTAGTTTGTTAGATGGCTACGTTTATTGATAAGGCAAAGAATTATAGGAAGATATAAGGCTGAAAAAATGACATTAGCTTTATTTATTATTTTTATTTTTATTTTTATTTTATTCTTATTATGTATTTAATTTTTATTATTAGGCCTATAATTGTAAGTTGATACAAGGGCAATTTTTGAGTTAGACGCTGATTGTGAATTTGTTTTAGTTTTGGATTAGGATGTTTAAGGTTAAGAGCAACAGTCAGTGTATTTTGTTTTTATATTGTTTATGGCAGCTGATTTTGTTTGAGGCAATAAGTATTCTGGTATATTTGATTTTATTTATATTATTATTTTGTATTATGCAGGAAGCAAGAAAATTGTTGTAAACAAGGTTGGGGAACGCTCCTTGTAAGCAAAAAAGCGCCTTGCAATCCCGAGAGGGAAGCCAATAAACTTTCATATTTCATATTTCATAATATTAAATTTTTATATTAAAATTGAATTGATTCCTTCCCACAGACCAATATTTAATTTTTATATTTAAATTAATTGAATTAATTTTTTAATATTAAATTTTTATATTAAAATTGTATTGATTCCTTCCCACAGACCAATATTTAATTTTTATATTTAAATTAATTGAATTAATTTTTAATATTAAATTTTTATATTAAAATTGTATTGATTTCTTCCCACAGACCAATATTTAATTTTTATATTTAAATTAATTGAATTAATTTTTAATAGGAGACATGGTGATTGATTATGTGATAGCGGAAGCAGAGGGGAGGGAAAAAATTGTAAGCTTGGAAGTAGGGGACAATGTGGACTCAGACCACCACCCGATGATAGTGAAGCTGAGGGCGGGAGGGAAGCAGAGGACGAAAGTGGAAAAGGAAAGGAGAGCAATAGCGAGAGGAAACTGGACGGAGCAGGGGAGGAGTAAGTTCACGGAAGAACTAAATTGGACGAAAAGCAGGGGTGGCAAAGTTGAAGAGGATATGGAAGAAATGATAGAGCAAGTTAAAAGAGGGTTAGAAAAAAGCAGAGAAAAGGGACAGATGTCCAAGAAAAAAGGATGGTGGGATGAGGAGTGCAAGAAAAGAAAAAAGGAACTCAGGGGAGTATTAAGAGAGTGGAGGAAGGGGCGGGCGGAGGGAGAAAGCTACAGGAAGACAAAGAGGGAGTACAACAATTTATGCAAAGATAAAAAGAGAGAGGAAAACGAGAAGTTCGTAAAAGAAGTGGAGGGCAGATTGGGAGGTATGGAGAATAGTGAACAGAGAAAGGAAGAAAAGAGAACAGATTCACGCAAGTATAAAGGAGGAAGAGTGGAAAACCCACTTTATGAACCTGCTAGGTAGAACGGAAGAAAAAGTGGTGATGGGTGGGGAGAGGAAGCCGGAGGAGGAAGAAGAGGGGACGCAAGAAGAAGAAATAAGCAGAGAGGAAATTAGAAGAGTGGTAGCAAAGCTGAAGGATGGGAAAGCAGTAGGTGGAGATGGAATCCCAAATGAGGTTTGGAAGTATGGAGGGGAGGAAGTATCGAAATGGACTTGGGAAATCTGCAACAGAGTATGGAGGGGAGAAGGGTGGCCAGAGGGATGGAAGGAGGGTATAATAGCACCAATTAGAAAAAGGGGGAAAGGAAAGCAAACCAGTGACTACAGGGGAGTGACTCTAATGCCAACACTGTACAAGATCTACGCGGCGGTGTTAACGGAGAGAATAAGGAAAGAGGCTGAAGACAAAGGAATGATACCAGACAACCAGACGGGCTTTAGGCAGGGAATGGGAACTATGGACAATATATATGCAATGAATTATGTGGTAAATAGGCAGATAAAGAAAGAAAAGGGGAAGGTGGTGGCGTGCTTTGTCGACCTAAAAGCCGCCTTCGATTCAGTGGACAGAGGAGTGCTGATGGAAGCGCTAAGGGAAAGAGGGGTTAGGAAAGGGCTAAGAGAAAGGGTAAGGGAAGTACTGATAGAGACTAAAAGTAGGGTAAGGACGAGCGAAGGGTTGACAGAACCGTTCTGGACGGCAAGAGGCCTAAGACAAGGATGCCCCTTGAGCCCAATTTTATATAATCTGCTGACGGCAGACCTGGAAGAGGAAATAAGGAAAGGGGGGATAGGAGGGATCAAGATCGGGGAGAAGAAAATATGCACCCTGGCCTATGCAGACGACGTGGTGTTAATGGCGGAGAGGGAAGAAGATATGACAGTATTATTAAAGAAGTTAGAAAGGTACCTGGACAAGAAGAGGCTGGAATTGAACAGGGAAAAGTCAAAGGTGATGAGATTTAGAAAGGGGGAAGAAGAGAGACTGGCTATGGGGTAGAAGGAAGAGGAGGTTATGGCTATGGGACAGACTAGTATGGACTGTAATAGCGTATAGCGCTGAAGTGTGGGGGTGGAAAGAATGGAGAGAAGTAGAAAGATTGCAGGAGAGGTCCCTGAGATGGATATTAGGGGTGGATTGGTGCACCCCGGGCTATATGCTGAGAGAGGAACTACAAAGAGCGAAACTGAGGGTTAAAGCCGGAAAGCTAGCATCGGGGTTCGAAAAAAGGATGTGGGAGGGGAGGGGAGGAGAAGTGGCAAGAAAATGTTGGGAAGAAATGATAAGAGGGGAGCAAAGGGAGGTAGCAAGGAATAAATGGGAGGAAGAAAGAAAAAAGTTTTTCACAGAAAAGGGAATAGAAATGGTGCATCTGGAAGCAAAAAGGAGGGAAGGAGAAATGAGATTCGAGGAAATGGAAGAAGCAGACTTACGGCTACAGGAAGAAGAGAGATGGGGCAACATTATGGCCTCGAAATATAACAAATGGTACAAAGTGATCAAGGAATTCCAAAATATTTGGAAAAAGAATGGAAGGAAGAAAGATGGAGAAGAGTCGCTAGATTTAGACTAGGAAATGAAGTAAAAGAAGCAAAATACTGGGAAAGCGAAGAGAAAAAGGTATGCAGACTCTGCAAGTGCGATCAAGAATCGTGGGAACATGTGCGGGAAGGGTGCGGGTCAAACAAGGAGAGAAAGGAAACATGGCAAGAAAAGGTGAAGGATTTACTGGGGGAAAGCGGAGAAGGGGTAGCATGGATGGAGGAGGTAGAGAAGGATAGAAGAGAGAGAATATTAGCGAGCGCCGAACAGAAAGACACAGATGAGACCGAAGATAACAACCAGTAAGGGAGAAGGAAACGAAGATGGTAGGCAACACGAGAAAATAAAAGTAGGTTGGCAGCACTGTTGAACCACGAGGGATTCAGGCGGCGAGGAAATAGCCAGGGAGGTTCGCGCGCAAGACACGTGGTAAAGTTAACGGGAAGGAAAGTGCGAACTATAAACTGTGAACAGACGAGGAAACGACAAGGGGACGAGAGAAAAGAAATGGACTCACGAGAAACACAAATGTGGGAGATGAGAAAGTTGAGAGAGGAAATAAAAAAGTTAAGAGAGGAGCTAACAGAGTGGAGGTTGGAAGAGCGCAGAACAAGAGCGGATAACACAACAAGAGGGGAAGAAGAAGCTGAAAAAGAGAAAAAGGAGGAGGAAGAAAAGAAGTACAAGAGAACAGAAAACGAAGAAATCAGAGGTATGGAGAGGATGAAAAGAGAAAGAAGAAAGAAAAGCCTAATTTGGAAAGGAGTGCAGGGAGAGAGCTTGGAGGAAAAGATCACATACATAAACAGGATTTTAGAAAAGGAACTGGGGATGAAGACAAGTATAAGGACCACAAATAGAAAGAGAAGGGGATGGGGGGAGAAGAATTGTAATAACAGAGTTGGAGGAAGAAGAAAGAAAAAAGGAAATGGTGTGGATGAGAAATGGAATCTGGGAAAGGTGGGGTGTGGAGGTGGATGAGGACCTTTCAAAAGAAGAAAGAAAGGTCAAATGGCTAATCAAGGAGAAGGCGAAACAAGAGAGGGCAAGGGGAAGATGGGTGGTATATAACAATAGAAGAATTTGGGTGGAAGGAGAAGAGCTAGTATGGTGCGAGGAGGAAGGAGGATGGAGAAAGGAAATACTGGGGGACAGGATCGAGAAAGCGATGAAGACTGGTCAAGACGAAGGAGGAGAAGAAAGGAGCAAGGAGGGAAAGGGAAGAGAATAGAGAAAATAAGGGAAGAGCGAAGAGAAGAGCAAGAAGAAAGCGAAATCATAGAATTAAGAGTTTAGTATAAGTTAAGCAAAGAATAGAATAGTTGAGGCCAGAAAAGTATGTACAAAACCATGGACAATTTAAGTTAAGTTAGGTTAATTTGGTAAGATAGATTATTGTTTTATTAATTGTAGGATTATAGTATGGTAGTTTAATTTGATATTTTGTTTTCTGATTTTTGTTTTATGGCCAAAGAGTATCTTTAGTTTTTAGTTGGTATTTTCAGTTTAAAGTCAGTGTATCTATGCGGAGAATAGGACAGAGAATAAGGGGAATAGAAAGGGAAAAGTAAAAGAGGAAAGAAAGTAGGAGTGAGAAAGGCAGGAAAGTAAATGGGGGGGTGATGTGCAGTGTAAGACTGATAGATTAAGGAAAAAGGGAAATCAAGAGTAGGTATGATAGGAAACACGGAAGGCAATATGATACAGTGGCAGTATTATAAGTATAGTTACAATCTAAATGTATAGTAGGATAAGTGCATAGGGTATAAGTGTTGATAAAGTTTGGTAAAGTCTGATATTGCATTATATTTTTATAGTTCATTATTTGATATTATATTTTGATACAGGTGCTGCAAGAGGAGAAATGTTAATGTAAAGGTTCGGGACCGCTCCTAATCAAAAGCGCCTCAAAATCCCGATTAGGAATTGATAAATAAATACAATACAATACAATACTAATCGTACGTTACTTGTATTAATTTTCACGCAATTTCAATAAAAAATGTGGAAATTATAATCAAATAACCGAAAAATGACTCATTCGCCCCACTGTGCGGCGGGATTGAACACCGCTGTACTCCAGTACCATAGCTCTTGAATAAACATATATGTTTTTCTATCTAAATCTGCCTCGTTATTTACCGAACCTGTTCCCTTGCGAACCCTGGTACGGGGAAACCGACCGCGGTGCGCAACACCGTGCGCACCGACCCGACCGCCACGTTACAACCCATTAGGATTTTGTAAGTCTACGTATACATTCGAAGCGCTACGATACGAAATAAAAAAGTTCTCAGTGCTCGAAGTTACAGGATCGAAAATTATTTGTCCATAAGGGTGAAAATTTTTCTTGATAATTAACAATTCTGTTGAGAGCTCTGGTAGCCCCCCAAACAGTTCTATCAATTATCCTTAACAACCAAAGTGCTATAGTTGATAGCAAAAAAGTTATAGCTTTTCAAAGTTTTCAAATGCTATTTTCGATACTTTAATCGACGGAACTATTTTTAAAACTGATAGAGAACTCTAGGACTCTTAGGGGACATTCAGAACTCTTATCAATTTTTCAAGTTTTTGATAATGAGAGCCCAGCTTCACAGACGTACCGATCCAGCCATCTCTGTACAAATGTAAATATATAGACAAAAGAGCGTGACATATATGTAGAATAAAATGTGTACGTGCGAAGACCGAAAACGAGTGTTTCTTTGCAAAAGCGAATCGTTACTAAAATCCCTGACTAATAATAATATATGTTAGTTTTTAACGCAGAACACTTTGTTCTTAACAGATATTGAATAATGTTAATTAATAACAAAATATAGTTTCTTAAGTTGGTAATATTAAATTACTGTTAACATCACTTACACTGTTATAATTTCATTAATACATGCAACATTTGTTTTCCACTTACGTTTGCAAATATGTTAATGTCATAAAGATTATGACGTAAACAACGTAGCATATTAGCATATAATTTATTTTATCTGTAATAAATGACCTACATGTATTATTATTACCATATGATAATTAAAGTAAGAACAAGATGTTATAATATGATCTACATGCATTGTTCCATTAACACTTTATCTACAGGAAGCCTATTAATAGTTTCTTCAACACCATGGGCTGTTGATGGAAAAGAAAATAATTTTTAACAAAAAATACAACCGACTTCGAAATGCGCTAAAAAGTATGAAATAATTTCTACTTCATTTATACAAATACCCAATAGCTATTAATAAAACCTATTCACTCGTTAAATAGTATACTAAATACATTTCAACCTTTTCGGAGGCGGCACAAAATTAAAAATATCCGAATATACGATGCTGCCAATAATTATTTGATAGGTTGCCGACGTCTGAACTAGAATCTTCTTAGTAGAAGAAAAGTTTTTAATTTTGCGCCGCCTCCGAAAAGGTTGAAATGTATTTAGTATATTATTTAACGAGTAAATAGGTTTTATTAATAGCTG